TTTCCTTCTATACCTAATTTGCTAAGAGACCTTGTCATGAAGGGATGTTGGATTTCATCAAATGCTTTTTCTGCATGTGTTGAGATAATCATGCTTTTTTTCCTTGATTTTGATGGTGTGTGATGCAGTTTGGATGTGTGGTCCCCTCCAAAACTCATGTTGAAATTTGATCTCCAATGTGGCAGTGTTGGAAACTGATTGAGTCATGGGGGCGGATCCTTCATGAATGGATTAATGCTCTCCTTGGGGGAGGGGGGATTAATGAGTGAGTTCTCTCTCTCTTAGTTCCCACGAGAGCTCGTTGTATATAGGACCCCGGCACCTCCTCCCTCTCTCTTGCATACTCTCACCATGTGATCTGCTTGTGCCCGCTGACTCCCTGCCGCTTTCCGCCGTGAGTAGAAGCAGCCTGAGGCCCATTCCAGATGCAGCTGTCCCAGAATTGTAAGCCAAATAAACCTCTTTCTTTTATAAATTACCCAGTCTCAGGTATTTCTGTTATAGCAACACAAAATGGACTAAGACACCTCCTCACAGCCGGAGCATCTGGCCCTGCACATCACTCTCCATGGTGGTCACATCGCCATGAGTGAGCAATGCTCTTTACAAATGATCTGTGCATTTTAATATTACATCCTATTGCTACTTTTAACTTAAGATGTGATAGAACTTCCAATTAAGTTTTTAAAATGAAGCAGAAAACTAAGAGTTGAACGTTTGTATCTGCCACAGGTTTCTTATGGTGAGCATTTTGAGGGTACTTTTTAGTTTTATGAATTGCAAAAGCAAACTCTGCTTTTCTCTTGTTTTAGTTTCTTTCTCACTGTTCATTTTTTGCAGGACTTTTCTCTGTTTTGAAGGGTTGTTTTCTCCTTGTTTTCACGTTTTAATGCCTTTTTCTTAATTTATTATAGATCTGGAAAGAGGTGAATCTGTGTGAAGATTAGTGGGAGACTTATTCTTAGAGACACACAGAGCTTTAGGCCTGGTGCTTTGAAACTTATTGCAGCTGCCCCAGAAACTGCCAGTCTCTGACATCATGAGAGTGAACTGGCTGTGAAATTAATCTACTTGATTTTAAGCTTCTTCAGGGTGGGCTCACGTCTTATTCTGAGCAGTTGTTTTATGATATACATAAACCTGGATGTGATGCCACAGTGGTGGTGCAGAATGAATGGGATAGTTCTTGCTTCCAGTATTTCTTTTTGCTGTTTCATCTCTTGCAATGGGTCATTAATGAGCCAACAACTGACCTCAAGATGTTTAAACTTGATATTTGAATCCTCTGTGTGTACTGGCTAACTTTCATCTAATTATAGGCATTTGAACATCTCTGAAAAACAGGATCTTTTGATATCAGCTATCTAGTTATTATAGGAGATACTGATTTTTATAATGGTTTACTCTTGAACACCTAGTATAGACCGAGAAGTGAGTGGGAACCTGGGATGAGTTTGAGGTAAAGTAATCTGGTGTCCTCAACATGACCAAATATTATGGTCAGATTTCCTTAGACTTTTCAGATTATTATAGTGATTTCATGGGCTTGAAGAATTTCAAGTTATTTTCAAGAGGTACTCAGATGTACCCAAGTGATCTGGTGTCATAAAATCTAAATGTCTTGCTAAATGTCCAGTTAAAATAGAGTCCCCGTCTCACATGAAGCTGCAGGAAGTATATGACTATTTTAAAAATCTCGACTACTCCTGGGTGAGGTAGGGGGTAGGGACCAGGGGATAGGGTGGGAAAGGGCAGTTACATTCCTGTGGTGGCCACTTCTTATTTCATTCTCCATCCCTAGGCTCGAATCTGCATCCTTTTTCATCTTTCTATTTCTTGCTACTGAAGCTGTTGAACACTCTTCACGTAGTTCCACTTAAGGGTGACCCCTAATTTTTCTCATTCTGCCAGGCTATTGTTTGAAGAGATATTTACTGAAAACTTGGAGTTAAATTGCAACCCCAAAGAGGAAACACTGTGAGTTGAATTTCAGATGTTGCTATACCTTAGTTTCCTTGGTCATTCATTCCTTTACACAAACTTTTGTTCCACCTCTCTCTCCTCTCTCTCTCTCTCTCTCTCTCTCTCTCTCTCTCCCCTCTCTCTCCTGCCATATTGGTAGGCCTGACTCTCTCTCCAGAATTCTTTTTTCCCATTATCGCCTTCCTCAGGCCCAGAGTCCCAACAGTCATTTGGTTTCTCAGGCACCAGGGGAAACAGAATATTCTTGTGACTTTGTTATATAAAATGAATTTATATCCCTTTTGTTTAAACACCCCTCATCCCCCAATGAGTCGGACACATTCCCTTTTATGATCAGTTCTCAGTCAATGAGCCTATTTAACTAAAAATATAGGTTATCTGTAATAACCAATGTAACTTAATCTATTGAAAAGAACATGAGCTTTGTAGTCATACATATCAGGTTATAATCTTAACTCCTCCTCCTCCTGGATGCGAGACTCTGGGGGAAGTTACACCTTTCCTCTAAGTTTCCTTTTCTCTAAAATAGTTGTTGTAGATTGGTTGTCCCCCAACCTCACTGAAGCTTAAATCCTCGCTGTAACTGTTGAGGTTGGGAAATCCTATTATGGTAATTGAAAGATGGGTCCTTGGAGAGGTGATTAGACCATAAGACCATGCTTTAATGAAGGGATTAATAATGGTGGTCAGGGGTGTGGTTCTGAGGGTCAGGGGTGTGGTTCTGTGAGCACATACTCTTATGTGCTCTTAGTCTCTTTCTGCTCTGCCATTTTCTGCCGTGTGAGATCCTGGATCACCGTTGCCACCACCAAGACCCTTACCAAATGTGTTCCCCAGACTTTGGACATCCCAGCCTCTGGACTGTAAGCAATAAATTTTGTTTCTTAGAAGTCATCCAGTTCAGCTAATTCTGTTATAAGCAACAGAAATGGACTAATACAATTGGGATACAGATAACCTCATAAAGTTGTTAGGATTAGATAAGGTAATGTCCATAAATTGCCTGGCATCGGTGCCATTAGATAAGTGTTTCCTGACACCTCTTCAAAGTTCAGAAATTAGGCTCTCTTCTTTTACCTGGGCAGAAGTTTTGTCTTCCCTCTTTGGATGTGCACGCATTTACGTGCTTGTGTTTGTGAGCTTGTGCTTGTGTGTGTTGTATATAGCTGGGTAAGGCTATGCTGGGAGCAGAAAACAATAGTGCTCATTTGAAGTCGTTTAAATTCAAAGACTCTTGATATCCTTAAGTACTTGGTCACACATGATTACATACGATTTTGTGACTGTTCTGTTTCTCATCTAGTAGCCTCTCTCCCCAATGAATTCCTTGAGGGAACACCATGTCAAGTCCTCCTAATATATCTGTAGATGCTTAACATATCTTGCTTTTTTTTTTTTAACTTGGCCTGAAGCTGCTCATTGGGATATTGATAAACATTAAAGAATTTTGTTTTCCCGGCCAGTTCATGAAACCTTGAAGTGCCTTTCCATAAGAACCCTCTTCTGAGAATAGCAGACTGGAAGATTCTTTTGTACAGAGTGGCTAAAGCTTGTGCCAGTAGTTTTAGCCACCCTACTCCTGCTATGCTAGTCATAGACGATTGCCCTGAGGTTCTGGGCACTGTTAAAGGTTGCCATATAGTGGGCTGTTATTTCAGATGCCTGCTTTTGAGAGAGTTTGGCATGAACTCTGTCTTAGGAGACATTCCATATAGAATGGTGGGAATCTATGATTTTCCAAACCTCTCTAAGCCTTAATCTCCTCATCTCTGAAACAAGCATAATATTGCCTATCTCATGGCATGTTGCAGGATTAAGTGCATGAGTTAGTGCAGGGTAAGACTGCACATAGTGCTGGCTCATGTGTATGTTTGATAATGTTAGTGAGGTAGATGAAATTATGGGGCCTAATTCTTCACACACACAACCCCCTCTTGCCTTTGCACCTGCCTTGGCCCCAACCTGGGTTCAATGAGCAGCCCCTCCCTTAAATTTAGGCTTAGCCCTGTGATTCACTTTGGACAATGGCATGTAGGTGAAATTGGCAAAGTGTCAGTTCTGAGCCTAGGTGTTAGAAGTCTTGCCTCTTTTTGCTTCCCTCTTGACTATCACCTTGGAAAAAATATGCACCATCTAGTCTCCTTGTCCAAGGAGGATGAAAGACACAGCGAGCAGAACTAGCCCACACCCATACTGAGAAGTGGGGCCACCCAGCTGCTGCAGCCTGAGGCTGAGTTGCCCAGACAACCCAGCCTCGATCAGCAGATGGATGAGTCATAGCAAATGATCATTGTTTAAAGACACTGAGTTTGGGGGGTTTGTTGTGCAGCAATAGCTGACTAGTGGAGTTAGCTATTGCTATTGCTATTCTTTTTTAGAAAACTCAAGTGCTATTATTAGGCAAACAAAGAGCTATTGAATAGTTTCCACGAGCCAGGTGATTGTTGGGAATGATGCTGAGCTCCATCCCTCATTCCCTCGCAGTCAGAAGCCCTGGAACGCCTAATGCTCCAGCAGCTGACGCGGCAGTTCCCCAGACTGCCTCCCTCTTTCCAGTGCTCCTGCAATCAACTCTCATCCCTGTGGCTGTCACTTTCTTTCGATTCCGAGGATCTTGACTAATGCGGTCATAAAAAATAGCAAAGGGAAGGAAAAATACTTATAGTTTAATATGCATCCACTTCCTTTTTTAGAGTTTTTTCTAAATTACGATCCTGCTGCAGTGGATGCTTTTGGTCTGAGCATTGAGGCATCACGTTCTTGAAACCTTTTCAGTACATAGTTGGGTTTCTTTGTGCTGCTGCTTCTCTGACTACAGTGGTCTAATCATACTTGCCATCACCCGATGTCCTCTCAGGGAGTTGGAGGGGATTAATGAGACAGTGTTTGCAAAGCCCTCCGAGGCTCTCGGAGGAAAAGGCACGGTAGTCATATAAATGTGGATATCTGGAGTTGGCACTCATTTATCCCTGTGTATCTATTTCAGATAGTTTGGAATCTTTGAGGCAATAATTTGGCAGGCACAACCTCATGCCCTTCTCTTAGTAAAGGACAGCGTTTCGCTTGGAGCCGAGATATTTTTTCCACCCTTTTGGCCTCGCCGAGCTTTTTAACGATCACTTCCATGCTGCTTGTCTCTAATCTGCTGAGAGATGCTGTCGGTACAAACTGTACTGTGAGACTGTGAGAAAATTACACCACAACCCACATGGAAGCCCTGCTTTTGGTTCCAGGATGTCTGCTGGGACTGCTGTTAAGAATATGTGTCTAAAGAAGGAGCTCATTCTAATTCTTGGTGCACAGGTGAGTTAATAAGTGTGTGCATTGAGACCGAGAGCTGATATATCAAAGATGTGGCTCTCTATCACCTCGGGGGTGTTCTTAATAGTGGTGCCAGCTTTCTTCCCCCTTTCATTTTTGTCAAAATGTATCAAGTGCTGTCATTGCTTCTCAAAGAAAGCACTTATTAATATGTATAAGGTAAGGCTGTTCCTTTTCAGGAATTAACTTTACTCACAATCATTAAATCCACCCATAACGCATACGGAGAAAAAAGGTCATGGGCACACACACGCATGCACACGCGTGCACACGCACACACACACGAAACACAAGCAATAAAAGAGCACCATGGCTCTGAACTTTCCTGAGGCAGAAAATGTCACATATTAATGCAAAATAAAATGCAGTCCCCTGCTTCTTCTTTTCCTGTCTGTGGTGGTAGCATTTGTTAGATAATGATATTTTTTGTTTATGGGTCCAAACGTGCTTTATTTTACATCATATTTTGAGTAAATAACGGTAAGTGAACACAGTTAGAGCCTCATTTCAATTTATTTTAAATGGGTGACTCGTGTGTCTTAGGCTATGACTTATATTGTATTTATACCTTTTGACAGCATTGATTCAAAACATCTGCTTTTCAGGTAGCTGTATAAATTTCATGAACGTTATGTTTTAATTTCTTGTTTGTAGAAACTGTTAATCCTGGAAATGTTTAGTCAGTCTTTTATTGAGAATTCACTGAATGTAGGTGCCTTGAGGAGTCACAAAAAAGTTGAAGATCTGGTTTTCATTCTGACCAGTAATTATAGCAAACCAGCCTTGACTGTTTGCTATGTGGGTGATTCTTTATATTCATTATCTTGCTAATTCTCATTACAACACTTCAAGTTAAGTATTATTATTATCCATTTCTTATAGTTGAAAACATGGAGGTGTAGAAAAGCTAAGCCATTTGTTTGACCGTTTCTCTTACCCTAGGGCCTGGGCTTGCAACCTGATTGGGAGGAAGAATCAGGGTTTCTTTCTCTGAGGTTTGTTTTGTTTGTACGGCTGCCATAAAAAAGATGGGGTGGCTTCATGAACAGAAATTTGTTTTCTCACAATTCTGGAGGCTGGAATTCTGAGATCAAGGTGTCGGTAGGGTTGGTTTCTTCTGAGGCCTTTCTCTTGGTTTTTAGGTGGCTGCCTTCTCCCTGTGTCTTCACGTGCTCTTCCCTCTATACCCGTCTGTTTCCAAATTTCTTCTTCTTATATGGACACCCTTCATATTGGATTAGAGCCACCCTAACAACTTGTTTCTTTAAGATCCATCTCCAAATGTGGTAGACCCCTTATCTGCGAGGAATATGTTCTACAACTCCCAGTAGATGCCTAAAACCACATTCTAACCCTCTATATACTGTAGTAACTAACATTATATATACTGTACATGAATTTCTTTTTCCTTCACAATTTCACAGATAATTCCTTCTTACCATTGATCTTAGCAACCTCAGCTTTTTATTTCTTTCCTCATTAAGTTGAGAACTTTCACCTTTTTACTTAAAGGAAGCACATTACAATTTCTCCTTGGCATATCCAAATTGCCAACATCACTGCTCTTGCACTTTGGGGTGCTTATTAAGTAAAATAAGGGTTACTTGAAAACAAGCACTGCGATACCACAACAGTCAGTCTGAAAACTAAGACAGCTACTAAGTGACTAACTGCTGATGGCGCATACAGCCTGGATATGTTGGACAAAGGGATGATGCACTTCCTGGGCAGGACAGTGTAAGAGTTCATCATGATACTGAGAATGGTGCACAATTTAAAACTTATAAATTGTTTATTTCTGGAATTTTCTATTTAATGTTTTCTGTGCTTGGTTAGCTACAAGTAACTGAAACTTCAAAAAGTGAAACCATGGATTAGGGGTGGGGGGACTACTGTACAGTCACATTCTGAGGTATTGGGGGTTAGGACTTCAACATATGAATTTTTGGGGCACACACTTCAGGCCATGAGAAGGCTCATGAAACATGAATTTTTACAGATTCTCATCTGTTCTTCTTTTACCTCAGTCCAGGCATAAGGGACTCTCTGGACTGGAAGAGGTGAGGAGACCTCTCCATTTTTTGTAGGAGCCTGAACTTTGAAAACTCAGTGGCCAGGAAGAGATGTGGAGGCTACTTGCTTTCTGCCCTGGTATCCTCCATGAGGCCTCGCGGCATGTGTGAGGGAAAGGGCACCTGCAGGACTGCGGAGTGGCTGCATCCTTTGGCTGTGCCATAAGAGAGCATCGAAGGGTTCTGCTTCTTGAGGGAGGGAAGGGAGAAAATTGTAAATACATGAGACAGACAAGACAGGAGAAGAACTACCAGGAATGTGAATAAGCAAAATCAGCAAACCTGTTAACAGTCCAGAAGTGCCACACTCTAGACTAACGCTACCCTGGCAGGGCTTTGCCTGTGGCATCTCATTTCTGCCTCAGGAACTGTTCCATACTCAGCTGTGGCTTCTGAGTCTATTTGCAGTAAAGGCCATTTCAAATGGCATTTGTAATATTGACACAGAGGAGGAGTCTCCAGCCTCTGTCTAGTTTCCTTTATTATTATTATCTTTGCAGGTAAAATAAAATAAAACAAAACAATGTCAAATTCAGAACCTCAAGAAGACTAACATTTGACTTGTCCCCTTGCTCTCCTTGCCAGTAGGTGTCTTGGGGATTTCTCTGTTGGTTGGTAATGTACTGGTGGAGGGAGTACATTGCCTGGGCCTTGGGTGGTCTGGGTTCTGAGGCCATCGCTGTCACTAAGAAGCTGAGTAGTCTTGGACAACCTACCTACATTTTCCTTGCTTCATTATTCAGACCCGAGATATGAGACTTGTAACCTCTACCCCACAGATACGAGACCTGCTCTTGAGTAGTATGGTGGGGGTTAAATGAGGTAACAAATGGGAAGCTGTTTTTAACTTGAACATCAGAGTGCAGTAAAAATGAAAGTACTCCTACAACATTTTGCATTAGGGCCACAGAAGTTTTGTCTCTTTCCTAGTTCAGCTTCACAAAAACCTATTTTCCATGACTAAGGTTTTTTACCACCATCACTCAGGATTAAGGTTGGAGCATAGATGTGAAGTTAGCATAAAGCCAGGTGAGTCATCAGGATCCGGATTAAGGTAAACAAGTGTGCGGTCAGACTGCCAGGGTTTCCCGTGGCCGGGTTATCTGTGAGGCGTGCAAGGGGCCTTGCTCTAGGCAGTCACCTCCCTCTCCACATATCTCAGCACGTTTTGACCCATACATTGGAACAATACATTTCTATCATTTGTATCTAGACATACAAATCGAACTTTTCACCACTTGTTGGTTTTGTTTGAAGGACAAATTCACACCCTAATTTCTTTCTGTTCTTATTCAAGGCCAGTAGGGTAGAAGGTGGGTAACAGGCATCTGTCATCTTTCTAGTCTCTCCTTGTTCTCCCAGGTTAGTTGGCAGATCTTTTCCCCACCTTTATCCACTTTTTGTGTCAGCTACTATCAGGCCTGTTCTTCCAGAGGAGTTGTTGATATAACCCTGCCAATTTTATCAGTTTACTAAACAGTCACTCAGGAAAAGCCCTGGCAGGCTCCTTAGCAGGGAGGCCTTCACTGAGACTGAGTGGATTTCAGAACTGAGCCTCTGTTTGGTGGTGCAAGTACCTGGCTGTGTGAAGAGACTCCTCTGTTCTCTTTCTTTCTGCCCTAACCTGGGCCCCTTCCAGAGATGTATTGAGTGCAGCACACTGGGTATTCTAGTCCTTCCTGGAGCAGCAGTAAAAGCCTGGGCCATGCCCCATGGGGATTTTGCCTGGTTCCAGGAGTGCCCGGGGCAGCAGGGAAGCTCCAGAACCCAGGGCAGCCTCTCTTCTAGTTCTCTTCTGGGACTGTCCTATTTGAGGCCAACATGAGGCTTTTAGAAGTGTTCAAATTGAAGCAAAAACTCTGCCACTCTGGTCTGGTCTTGCTGCTTCTATAGATACCTATAGTAGTATATTTGGAATAGCTGAGGGTTAAGGAATGATGTGACAATCGCTCTGTTCTGTTGCTCAAACTTTTATTGAGGTGGTATGTGGTGAAATGGGCAGCTCTTTAGCTAATCCAGTCATTGCAGTTATCAAATTGCCTTCATAATTCCTGCTTTTTGATGGCATGTGTGTGTCCCCAATCTCCCCCAAAATATTTCAAGGTGCGGGGTGCAACATGAGAAGCATAATCATGTAATATTTTCTCAACTTCAAAATAATGATGTCAAATGATTACTTGGGCTAGAGTTTCTGAGTGTCTAAAGAGCCACAAATTTGTCCATTTGTGGAACTGAAGCCACCAGAGAGTATGTCTGGTAGTTTGTAAATTCAACATTCCTATGATGATCAGTAATTCATTTATGACTTCTCCCCTTGGGCACACTGCAGTAGAGAAACGATTACTCAACGGGTGAGATATTTAATATTTTTCGTTCTCAACTGTCAGCAGCATAGCATTGTCTGTGGCCTCCTGTTCCAGAACTTCTTCATTTAGTTGAAAGGGAAAGCTACCTACCACCTACTGAGTACACAGTGGGATAGCTCCCCATGCCTGGGCCCTTGTCCCTGAATCAGTTGGAGAGAAATATTTCCTCTGATGGGAAAGGCTTTGAAATAAATGGTGAAGGGACCCAAAGAGTAAGAATTTCTTTTCATGCTTTTTGGAAACTTTTTTTTTGGTATTTATTTCAAAGACTTAAGTGTACTTTGGGGGGCCCCTAATCATCATAAGCCCTGGGAATTTACTTCTCTGCAGCTGCTCCCCCTCCCCAAGCAGCCCTGCACGAAGCAAAATAATTGTCTGTTTCTGCAAGCAGCCTCCTGTGCAGATGGAGCCTGATTAGCATGTACGCTTGCAGCAGGCCACTGCTCTAACCACATTTGGAAATCCAGCCACTGAGAGAAATGTGGGCTTGACATTCATTAACATTCTTTGGCTCCCTGGGAAATACACATAATAGGGTAAAATT